CAAATCCTCCTATAGTTATTTGCTACATCTTGATATTCATCAGTGGCCTATTTCGTTGACTTTCCTTTGTAAATGTTTGGTAACGAAAGAAAGTTTGCTCCTCATCGGCAATTCGTAGCGTTTTGGTTTCATTGAAAATCTCTGAAGCAAAAACAATCAAAGGAGACTCTGATCATAATTTCGGTTGGGACCTAGTCCTTCCACATGCCACCAAAATTTCAGAACCTCCTCTTTTGGTAATTTTGAGTTCGGTATTTTAAGTGCCCTTATTGAAGTGCCCTGAAAATCGACTATTTGATAAAAAAAGAAAATTATTTTTGAGAACAATGTTGGAAGGTAACGAAGGGACAGTATATGGCCATAGTAGGAGATAATATAGGCATTGCCGAACACACTAACTTTAGGAGAAATCGTTCCAGGTAGGCCTAGCAGAACTTAAGAATTGCAGCACGTTCTGTCAAGACTACCCAATAACTTTCTGATCTAACAAACTTACATATAAAAGGGTAATTTAGTCCGAAAGACAGCCACTCCATTGAATTAAGGTTGTATCCCACATCGTCCTTTCCCGCTTCCCTGCTCCCAACGTTGCGAGCTAATGTTATTAATCGTATAAATCAAATGTAATTTATCGTAAGCCTAGGTTTTGTGACACACTAGAAAATACTAAAAAATATTACCACGAGTGTAGCTGTCATTGTTACCTCTGTTCCTTCCGTGATATGGTTAGAAGTGAGTTTTGCGACAAGCTTTAATCCTTGTTGAAAATGCATCTATGTGTCGCTTACAGTTTTGCTCGCCTTCATTTGTGTTGCCAACTGCCTACCGTCAGAAAGAAACTTTGCGGCAGGAGAATCAGGTAACGTAAATAAATCAAAGTAAAAATGGATTTGCAAAAATGCTTTTTAACGAAGGAAAAAAAAAAACAACAAACAATGCAAACTATATACGTGTTTGTTTGTTTTTTTTTGACTATAGATTTTTACTATGTAGCTAACCTTTCCAAAAGAACCTTCACTGAATAACAGACAAAAACAGAGATGATAAGAGTGTAATCCCATAACAAGATTGCAGCATATCAACAAATTTTACCACAGTTTTCTTAGCAACTTCGAAACATTCTGCTCAACCAACAATCTCTTCAGCTATGCCAAATCCGAAAGCGAATTCGTCTCCAAAGGATACGACTGGTCCTTCGAATTCTATAAAAAATGCAATAAGATCTCCTAGCCGTACGACGAATCCAGCCGTTCGTTCGGATTCTAAAAATGCTGCAATAGCTTCCATTAGTACGACAACGAGTACAGCGGCCCCTTCGAATCCTAAAAAGTTTGCAACAGATTCCACTAGTATGACGTCTGCAGGACAGACCTCCACCTCAGAAACTTCTGTGGCTACTTCAACATTGACCACAACCACTGACAAGGAAAAGAGCAGAGCTGGCTGCATTTCATTCAGCATAGCTTTTTGGATAATAAGTATTTTCGTAATCTCATAATTACATTATTCATTTTTATAAATATGTGTTCTGAAAATGACGTTTGCAAACGCTTTTCCCTGTACACTTGCCGTGCTTTGAACATTTTTCTCAACCATGGAGAACTATGTATTGGTGTTAGAGCGATATCTTGTATCAATAAACATGATTTTACCTTTACTTTTGAAATTTTGTTAAGTAACACATCCAGCATCACTGGTCACATTTATAATACTCAGCTTCAACATGTTGGTTTAAGCTTTATGCATTCGTTTAGAGTTTTAAATTAACCATCACAAATAATACTGCGAAAGTTTTTTCTTCTAATTTCCTACTTTTCACAAATGCATCTGAAGTCACGATAGCAATTCCACAACATCCTTCACTGGTACGCCAGAAGGTTTATTTCCTGAAACAAATGATGAGAATTAGAGTTTAGAAAGACATAGTGTTGGAATCCCACTTTCCGCATTTCTCTGACGCATATTAAAGGATTTCGAAGATGGGGTCAAGAAATAAATTTAGGGGATGTTGGTGATTTTACACACAAATTTTTCGAAGTACGGAATTACTAGTCATTCAGTTCATCAACAAATGGAAATGAACCTAAAAGGAAACACAACACTGGTTAACAAGACGTGTAGGATGAGGGACCAAGCGTAAAAAACACATTTGTGTTTATGATCATCTTTAACAATTCTGTGATTACGAACTCCTCCCTCACTCCCGTTCTTTCTTTTGCCCAAAAAATTCACATGCCCAAATCTAAATCTCTATATTTCGAAGAAAAATTTAAATTGTTGAGAGATGTAAGGAAGGTAAACAACTTTCGATCCCCCTTAAAGCAGAATCCCTCAAATCCCCAAGCGGATTCCCTCCTTCCCCCTCTCTCGCTTTACTGTCGCAAACTTCATTTGAGCGTGTCTGGAATGCTAAGTAATTAAAAAAAGAGCCTAATTTGTTTACTGCAATAAGCCGGAAAAATATAATATAGAGGTGCGCACATGGTGCAACTGCATTGTAAACATCCTATCTTAAAGAATAATAGATAGATTGTTCCTGAAGGCGCGACGGCGGTCTTAAGCAGTCAATTTTGAAAACGATCAATGAATTTAATGAAATGATTCACATTCTTAAACTGCTTCGTAGTCACAATCGTGCCATATACTTTTATAAAGCGTTGAAGCAGAAGTTAAAACCTACATTGCCTTTGAAGATGGAGAAATTCAAAAGGTTAATTCAATACGGGAGTCACTACCTTCAAATATTTGCCTTTGATCCTTTGTAATCCAAAAATCGTCAATAATGGCTTCATCCTGATCAATGGACAC